CCTGTAGGAGAATGTGGAGAAGGAAATATTAACAAGGAAAAAAGGATCAAATTTTGTTAGAAAGGCAGTCCATAACCATGACCCAAAAAATTGTAATTCATTTTCAGCAACAGATGTTAAAGTCCGAGGGCTGTCCAGGGAGGTACCACCTTCTAAGATAGAAAACAAATTAGTAAGTTCATTACTTGGTATACCTAAAAAAGGACGAAGCCAATTAATGTCTCCTAGTAACTTTTGAAAGTCATTTAGAGTTGTTAATGAGTCTGTTTGTATGGCAGATTTTTGAGGACAAACAGTGAGTTGCTCAACTGCATGACCTAAATATTGAAAAGGAGTAGTAGTTTGTATTTTTTTCAGGAGCTATTACCAATCCTCCTATTTGTAAAGCTTTTTGTGTGGTTTCAAATTTTTTATGTAATTGTTTAGAACATGCATGAGAAATTAAAATGTCATCCATATAGTGTATGATATATGCATCAGGAAATGTCACTCTAATAGGCTGTAACATTTTTCCTACAAAATACTGACACATAGTGGGGGAATTTGTCATACCCTGTGGCAGCACTGTCCATTGATATCTCTGTAAAGGTTCTTGCTGATTTAAGCTAGGAATGGAAAATGCAAACCTTTCCCTATCTTTGGGATGTATAGATGTAATATAAAAGCAATCTTGTAAATCTAAAACAATCAAAGGCCATTCTTTAGGAATACATGCCGGAGTAGGCAATCTAGGTTGTAAATCTCCCATAGTTACCATAGATGCATTTATGTTTCTTAAATCTATAAGAAGTCTCCATTTTCCAGATTTTTTCTTAATAACAAACACTGGGGAATTCCAAGGAGAAAAAGAAGGTTCTGTGTGTTTGTGCTCTAATTGTTTTTGAATTAATTTTTTAAAGTCTGCAATTTTTCATTATTTAGGGGCCACAATATGAAAGTCATAGGGAATCTACCCAGATTGCTCCATCCTGCCAAATATTCTCTACAAAAAGGAGAAGCAGGACCATAAGTTACACAAGCCTTTTTAAAGTCCTTTATAAGATTCATATCCAATCTATTATAAGTGTTATTGCTATTCATATAAAACATAACAGGAAATAGCAGTCACAATTCATGTGGCCATGGGGGGATAGGAATGTGAGCTGCTAATGAAGAGTCATTCTTTCTTTCCAAGCCCTTGTCAGGGCAAATATGTAAGTAACACATTTCCTCTTCAATGTTTCCCCTTTCAGGATGTTTTTTCCAATCCTCCTCCTCTGGGGGAGGAGGAAAAAAATCAGCAGTTTCTCTTGGGGGAGCCATTGCAATTGCTGGCACTGCAAGCAGCAGTTTACATTCAGCTTCCTCTGGCACAGTAAAGCCATGACTAAAGCACCTTTTACTTTCCTTAGTGATTTTTTCCATATTGCCTGTATCTAATTCATACTCATGAAGGGAGGCTACAGTATCTTTTTCTAAATTTTCTTCCCTTCTGTCTCCTCCAAGTATAAGAATTACAGATTTAACCAGAGCCCATGTTATCCAAAAATGAACAGGTATCTTTTCTCCCTGTTTGTATGCCTTTTCAACATTTTTACATGCTTGCTCCCAAACTTCTTCATCTAAAGGAAACCAAGGATTATACTCACAAATTACTTCTAAGCAGTCCTTTAACTGCTGTTTGGAAACTCGAGCTCCTCCTCATAATAAAAAAAATGATGCACAAGTGAAAGAAAAGGCTGGACTGGACTCTGCACTGATTTTGTCCCATCTTGTCTCACTTACCTCCTTCTGTGAGGGTCTTTGAGTCACTTTCAAAATTCTCCTTCAGGTCCCTGTTTAGGCACCAACTGTATGCCATTTACCAGCAGAAGCTGGGTGACCAAAGCCGTAAAAAGATGAGGGGACTACTGAATCCTGCTCAATAGCCACTTTAATGAAGTATACATTGTTTTTTATAAACTCCGTTTACACAGAGAGCATTTGGTCAGAGAAAGCATGCCAAGTATTATGTGTCAAGGTTACATTAGTACAGGGAAGCACAATTAAAATTAACTCTTTGTTATGTCTCCTTTAATATGGGAACAGAGAAGCAGGAGAAGCACACTGTCAACATAACTTTCTTATTTACATCTGAAGGACATGAAGCCATCTGGGAACCTTGAATACTGTTTTTCTGGACATCTGGCTTTCTCACAAGGCCAGATACGAACTCACACAGGCAAGGTCCCACTACTGGCTCCGACACGACAGGAAGAAGAAATATAAGGAATACAAATTGGAAAGGAAGTAGTCAGAGTATCCCTATTTGTAGATGACATGAACTTATACCTAAAAGACCAAAAAAAAAAAAAAAAAAAACCACCAAAAAACTTAGACACCATAAAATGTTTCAGAAAAGTTGCAGGATACAAAATCAATCCACAAAAATCAGTAGTTTTTCTATACACCACAATGAACAGATTGAGAAAGAATATGGGAAAATCATTCCATTTACAATAGCTTCAAACAAAATAAAACTTAACATAGAATGTTAAGACCTCTATAAAGAAAACTATAAACTATTAAAGAAAGAAATTGAAGAAGATTACAGAAGATGAAATGATCTCCCAAGCACATGGATTGGTAGAATCAACATAGTAAAAATGGCTATATTACCAAAAGCAATCTACATGTTCAATGTGATTCCCATCAAATTCCAATGACATTCATCACAGAAATTGAAAAATCAACCCTAAAGTTCATTTGGAAGCACAAAAGAGCACAAATAGCCGAGACAATACTGAGCAAAAAAAAGCAACTCTGGAGATATCATAATATCTGACTTCAAACTGTACTACAATAGCAATAAAAACAGCATGGTACAAAAACAAACATGAAGACTAGTGAACAGAATAGAAACCTCAGATATGAATCCACACAGCTGTGTCTTCCTGATTTTTGACAAAGGTGCCAAAAACATATGATGGAGAAAAGACAGCCTCTTAAACAAATGCTGCTGAAAACACTGGATATCTGCATGCAGAAAACTGAAACTAGCTCATGTTTGTTGCCCTGTACAAGTATCAATGCAAAGTCGATGAAGGAACTCAATATAAGACCTGAAACTTTGAAGCTAGTGCAGTAAAGAGCATGGAATACACTGGAATTAATAGGCACGGGAAATGTTTTCTTCAATAAAACTCAAATGGCTCAACAATAAAAGAAAGGATTGAAGGATTATGTGAAATTAAAAAGCTTCACACACAACAGAAATGGTGTCAAAATTGAAAAGGCTGGTCATAGAATGGGAGAAAATCTTCGCCAGCTACACATCTGTGAAGGGTTTTATGACCTGCTCAAAAATAAATAAATAAATAAACTCCCCCAAATTCAATGACCCAGTGAAGAAATGGGCAAAAGATCTGAACAGAACTTTCTCAAAGGAAGAAATCCAAATGCCAAACAGAAAAAAACAGATGAAAAAATGTTCAACATCCCTGATAATAAAGAAAATACAAATCAAAACCACATCAAGATTCTACCTCACTCCTGTTAGAACACAAAAACACAAACAACAACAAATGTTGGCGAGGATGTGGGGGAAAAGGAACTCTCATACATAGCTGATGGGAATATAAGCTTGTATAACCACTATGGAAAACAGTATGAAGACTCCTCAGAAACCTAAAAATAGAATTGCCATACTATCCAGCAATTGTACTCCTAGGGATAGACCCAAAGGAATGTAAGTCAAGTTACAACAAAGTCACCTGCACACCCATGTTTTTTGCAGCATTATTCACAATAGCCAAGCTATGGAAACAGCCAAGATAAGCCACTACTGACAAATGGATTAAGAAAACTTTGGTACTTATATACAATGGCATTCTATTCAGCCACAAAGAAGAATGAAATTTTGTTATTTGCATGTAAATGGAGGGAGTTGAAGAACATCATCTTAAGTGAATTTTGCCAGGTTCAGAAGGCCAAAAAGCCATATGTTTTCTCTCATATGCAGAATATAGACCTTACACAAATACAGCAATATTATGAAAACCAGATCATGCTAAAGGGAGGTCAGATACGAGAGGGGGAGGGTAAAAGAAGGAAGTTAAAAGGTGATGTACTCCCTATATAAAAATGAATATACAACTTTTAAACTGGTTGAAACAGCCATTACAGACTAAGGTAGAAAGAAGAAAAATAGAAGAAATGAACCAAATTGTGTGATAATACACATACACATGGAAGTGCTTCAAGGAAATTCCCTGTGTAGCTATCTTAAACAAGCAATAATGTCATTTATTTTTCCTTTGTTTTGCAAAATTGGAGAACAGGAAGGAGGAACAGATCCTGCCTGGGGAGGGGAAAGGGTTTATTACCAATGGGAGGGGGGAGGAGGTAGGAAAAGGGTGTAAAAGGGTGAATGTGGTGCAAATACTGTGTACACATGAAAGTAAACAGAAAAAAGACACTTGTTGAAACTATTTCTCAAATGGGGGTGGGGGGATAATGGAGAATGAGGAGTTTGTAAATTTAAATACAATATATTTGATATATTGTAAGAACCTTTGTAAATGCCACAATGTACCCCTAACCAGCACAACAATAAAATAATTTTTAAAAAAGAGAAATCTTATGAATGTAAACAATGTGGGAAATCTCTCAGTTTTTCCAGTTGCTTTTGAACATGTGAAAGAAATCATTCTGGTCAAAAACCCACGAATGTCAACAGTGTGGTAAAACTCTCAGTTCTTCCAGTCCCTTTCAATTTCTTAAATGAACTTTTACTGGAGGAAAAATCCTATGGATGAGAATAATCTTCTAAAGCCTTCAGTGGTCACAGTTGCCTTTCAAGACAAGAAAAAAACTCATTAATTGAAGAAAACTCTATGAATGTAAACAATGTGGTAAGGCTTTCAGTGGTCTGTTACTTTTCAGATACATGAAAGAAATCATAGTCAAGAAAAGCCCTATGAATGTAGAACAATTGATAAAACTCCTGCTTGTCCCAGTTCCAATCAATTTTTTTTTTCTTTTAGCTTTTTATTGGCAATCATCCTTGCTTAAGCAAAGTCCAGTTACTAAGCAGAGAATCCATTACTAAATTAGGAGACTCATTTAAAGTAGACCATTCACTGTTTATAATGAAAGGGGGGCTTTTTGAGCAGTTATCCAAAATAAAAATGCAGATATTGTAAGAGATAATTTAGTAGTGGAAAAGTTGCTACTTATTCTTTGCTGGAGATTTGTTAACAAAGCAGAGGTTATAATTTTTTTTAGTTGAAATGGAAATTTTAGCACAATAGTGGTAACCTGGAGAAAGTATTTTGTTTAAACTACTGAAACAAATTCAGGCAGAAAATTAAGGCAGGGCCTATGATTCTAATCTTAACAAGGGCAAAGACTAGTCCTCCAACTCTTATCCTTTATGACTAGCCTTACCAAGTTAAAGGATCTAGCTCTCCCATCCTACAGAGTATAATCAATGACCTGCTATCCAAAAACATTCAGTGATTGTTTATTGAATGAGGTAATAGTTTTCTCCAAAGGTAAGTCTTGATAATAGTAGCATAAAACTTGAAACTGTTAGAGTAATTATCAATTGCTCATCTTCACAGGGTAATTGTCACTCTTCAACAAAATTTTCCACCAGTGTTTCAAATCTTTTTAAACTCATGAATCTTTGAGAGTCAGTTTTTTGAAGCCGAAAGAGAATAAAACTCTTCTACACCCTGATTAACTCTACAAAGTCCTGCATTTCTTCAGATAGCAGAAGTTATTTTTAGGATTGAAACAATGACCTCACTTCCTCAGTCATGTAGCTTCAGCTGTTTTGATTGTGGGCAGGTCAGGAATGTCTAAAATTCGTATATGGACTCATGATGAACTTCTGTGTATTTCAATAGAGGTTGCTATATTAAAGAGAAGCTGTATACAATAGAAAATACTCTATTTCCAACAAGTGGAAATGCAACATAAAATTCTGCCTTCTTGGTATAAGTACTCCCAGAACCTCTGGAGCTAAAATAGTTTTTAAAATAGGACAAATGAAAATTATGCTTAGTGGCCTGGTCTAATTTTAAATGACATGAAGTCATAAATGAAAGTTTAAAACCAATAAAGCAGGAACACATAAGGCAAGTACACCACGCTTAAGGACTTAAAGATACTAAAGTGATCACATTTATACAAAGTCTACAGATAATTTTAAAATTTGGAAGACAGTACAGGAAACCTGATTAAGGCAGTTAAAATTAGATTTCCTTGGGAGGGTGAGAAATGAATAGAAGAGGGCATTGTTAAGAGACCAAGAGTACGAGAGAAGTCTAATAAGAACATCTTTTTCCATCTTTGGTATTTGTGAGACAGGGTCTTGCTACGTGGTCCTTGCTGGCCTGGAGCTCACTATGCAGCCAGGTTGCCTCAGCCTTCCTAGTGCTGAGATTACAGGCCTGTGCCCCACCCCCATCCCTGCCATAATTACTTTGTTGATGATAACTACAGTTAACACTGTTGAGGACCCATCAAGTGCTGGCACTGGGGTTACAGGCATGTGTCACCACACCCAGTTTATAAATATCATTTTCTAGGATTTACTACTTCTACCTTTCTTTGACATATGCAACTAGAACTAACAGAAGTCAAACTCCAGCAAATAAGAAATCTAAACAAGTATTTTATCATAAAGTTTTAATTACAGTTCAGAAAAAATTGAGTAAATAACTTTCTCTGAAAAAATATATTGACTCTGTGTGGACTGCAGTTATTCAGGGGGATGGGACCACTGGTAAATTACCCTATTTTCCATTCTGAAAATGACAAAAAGTCCCAGGTCCAGTTTGATTATAAAGATGCCCCAAGTGGCTGAGAATAAATACAAAACAAGAAAGGCAAAAGCTATAAAGCCAAAGGCATGCAACAGGCTCTAAGAGAAAATCTCAGAAATACCCAAATGGCAACAAGGATCATGTGGCTGGAATTTGAAGTTCTTTCAGTCATCTTTGTCTTTTGCTCCATGTTTAAGGATGCGCGTGAATTCGATGTAATTGAAATTTCCCTTTTTGTCAATAGGGGCTTCTCTGTACAGCTCATCCACTTCCTCATCTGTAAACCGATCACCCATAGTTGTCAGCAGCTCTCTCAGGTAATCCTCCTGAATAGTGCCTGTTGCTTCTTCATCAAAGCAAGCAAAAGCATTTCTGATGACATCTTCTGGATCTGTGCCATTTAACTTCTCACCAAACATGGTGAGGAACATGGTGAAATTGATGGGGCCCGGAGCCTCATTCATCATGGCATCCAAATATTCATCAGTTGGATTTTTCCCCAGTGAAGCAAGCATATCATGCAGATCTTCCTTATCAATGAAGCCATCTCTGTTCTGGTCGATCATGTTGAAGGCCTCTTTGAACTCCTGGATCTGTGACTGGTCAAACATAGCAAACACATTGGAGGTTGCGCGCTGAGGGCGCTTCTTGGTGGTCTTGGTCTTTGCCCTTTTGCTTGACATGGTGACAGTTAAATCCCTGCACAGCCGCGAGAATCGAGCGCCTCGGCGAACCCCTTGATACCCTTCTAGCCCCAGAGCCGCTAAAAAATCAACACTTCCGGCCTCCGCTTAACAAACCGGAAGGAAGCCGAGTCCCCATTCTTGGCCAAAAGAGTGGGCCAAACTTAGTGGAAGAGCGAACGGGAGGGAAGTTGCCAGTGTGGTCAGCAGGCGCAACATGGACCGAGTGCACGGGTAGGAAGTATAAAGCGGGCACTCAGAACGTAAATGAATGTGTAATGGCTCGGAGGTTCTGATTATTGAGTTTCAAGTCTTTTTTGTACTCCTTCTTGCACCTTAAGCTTTCCTCCCCCCTCTCATGTCCGCAGATGGACATGAGATGGACATGAGCCCTATGTATAGAAGCAATGTGGGGAAAATCTGAGACCTCAGTTACCTTCAAGTACATGAATGCACTCATGATGAAGACAAAGCTATCAATGTAAGCAATGTGGAAAGGCCCTTAGAGAGCTTGATTCCTTGTGAATAAATGAAAGAACTCACATAGGGAAAAACTCTATGAATGTAGCAAAGCCTTCAGAAATCACAGTTCCTTTTAAGGATCCTATATAATTCCCTAGTCAACAGACACAAAATGGCAGACTGGATTAAAAAAAACAATATCCAAACATTTGTTCCCTATAATAAATGTACCTCATTGACAAAGAAAAACAGTCTTAAAGTAAAGGGATAGAATAAGATTTTCAAGTAAATACAGCCTGGAAGCAAATAGGATTAGCTATACTTATATCTGACAAAGATGACTTCAAACTAAAATTAGTAAGAAGAGATAAAGAAGGTCACTTCATATTGATAAAGGTAACCATCCAACAGGAGGGTTTAACAATTGTAAAAATATATGTGTTGAAAATGCACATCCAGTTTCATAAAAGAAACACTACTGGACATAAAAGCTCAGATAGACCCCAACAAAATAATAGTAGGCAACATTAATATCCTATTCTCACCAATAGATAAGTCATTCAAACAAAAAGTCACCAAGGAAACTTCAGAATTAGTTGATGCTATACATCTAATAGAATTAATAGACATCTATGGATTATTCTATCCAAAAGCCATAAAATGCATGTTCTTCTCTGCATCCATTGAGCTTTCTGTAAAATAGGTAATATTTTAGAACATAAAACAAATCTTGCCAAATATAAGAAAATTGTAATGTGACTACATTTTTATCAGAACACAATGGAATTAAACTAGATATCAATAAAAATGGAAACTTCAGAAAATATTCTAGTACAGGGAAACTCAACAATTCGTTTTTGAATGTCCAGTGGGTCATTGAAGATATAAGGGAGGAAATAAAAACTCCTAGAATCAAATTAAAATGAAAACACAACTTACCAGAACCTTTCGGATACTGCAAAGGCAGTGCTAAAGCAGAAGTTTATAGCTATGAGTGCCATCATTAAAAACTCAGAGAGATTCCAAATAAATAGACTAATAATATACTTCAAGCTCTTAAAAAACCAAAAACAAGCCAAACCCTAATACAGTAGGTGGAATGAAATAATAAAGGTCAGGGCAGAAATTAACAAAATGGAAAATAAAGGAACAATATAAAGAAACCAATGAAACAAAAAGTTGATTCTTTGAAGAGGTGCAGAAGATTGACAAACCTTTAGCCAAACTAAACAAAAGATGGAGAAGACTCAAATTAGTAGAAATAGAGATGAGAAAAGGACCATCACAAAAAAATACCAAAGAGATTCAGAGGATCTTTGGGGATACTTCAAAAACCTACATTCTAATGGAGTAGAAAATCTAGAAGAAATGGATAAATTTCTAGATGCATATGACCTACCAAACTTGAAGCAAGATGATATAAAACTTAAACAGCTGTTTAACAAGTAATGAAATTGAAGCAGTAATAAAGTCTCTCAATAAAGAAAAGCACAGGACTAGTTTGATTCACTTCTGAATTCTCCTTTAAAGTGCTAACACCAATGTCTTCAAACTACTCCATAAAATAGAAAAGGAAGGAACACTACTAAACTAATTCCATGAAGCAAGTATTACGTTGGTACCAAAACCAGATAAGAACAGGACAAAAAAATTTTTCAAAACTACAGAGCAATTTTTCTGATGAACATAGACATAAAAATTCTCAAAGAAGTATTTGCATACTAAATTCAACAACACATTAAACAGATCATATACCATAATCAGTTGGTTTCATTCCAGGATGATTCAACAGTTCACAATCATTGTAATACAGCATAGAAACACAACCAAGAACAAAAGTCACATGATCATTTCAATAGATGCAGAAAAACCATTGACAAAATTCAACATAACTTCAGGATTAGTCTTGAAAAAAGTGGGAATATAAGAAATATACCTCAACGTAATAAAGACTAACTATATGACAAGCCTATAACCAACATTATAAATAGGGAAAAACTGAAATCATTTCCTCTAAAGTCAGGAACATAACAGGATGTTCTTTCTTTCCACTTTTATTCAATTTTGTGCAGGAATTCCTAGCCGGAGCAATACAGACAGGGAAACAAATAAAAAGGATTCTGATAGGAAAGTAATTATTCTAATTATCCTTATTTGCAGATGATACACTCTTATAATTAAAAGTTTATAAAGACATTATCAAAAGAAAAAAACTCTTAGATATGATAAACCCTTTTTGCAGAGTAGCACAATATTTTTAAAAATCAGTAGGTTTTCTATATACTGATAATGAACAGGCTGAGAAAGAAATCAGGAAAAAGATTCTATTCACAATACCCTCAAAAAATTAAATACCTAGGAATAAACCAAGCATAGGAGGTGAAAGATCTCTACAATTAAAAGTACAAAATCTTGAAAAGGGACATTTAATAAGTTCCTAGAAGATGGAGAGAACTCCCATGTTCATGGATCAACAGAACTAATACTGTGAAACATGGCTATGCTGCTGAAAGCAATCTACAGGTTCAATGAGAGCATCATCAAAATTCCAAAGGTGTTTTTCACAGAAATAGAAAAAACCATTCTAAATTTCATTTGAAAGCACAAAAGAGCTCAAATAGCTAAAGTACTAGAGCCAGAGGTACTACAATACTTGACTTCAAATTATACTAGAGCCATGGCAACAAAAAAAAGCATGGTACTGGCAACAAAAGCCAACATGTAGATCAAAAGAATAGAATAGAAGATGCAGAAATAAGCCCACACAGCCATAGCCATCTGATATTTGACAAAGGAACCAAAAACCTATGTTGTGGAAAAGACAGCCTCTTCAACATATGTTTTTGAAATAACTGGATATACACATGTATAAGACTGAAACTAAATCTCTATCTCTCACCCTGCACAAAAATTAATTCAAATGAATCAAAGATCATAGTGAATGGTCTGAAACTTTGAAGCTGCTAGAGGAAAACATAGGAAAAGACTCCTGAGGATGTATGTGTAGGTAATGATTTTCTGAAGAGAACTTCAGTCACTCAGGAAATAAGAATAAGGTTTGACAAATGGGATTGCATCAAGTTAATAAGCGTCTAGACAGGAAAGGAAACAGTTAAGACAATTTAAAGAAAACCTATAAAAAGGGAAAAAATATTTACCAGTTATTCATCACATAAAGAACTAATATTCAGAATATGTAATGAGCTAAAAAAATTAAACACCAAAAGAAAAATAATCCAATTAATGAATGAGTAAATGAACAGTTTTCAAGTACAAATGGTTAATAAATATATGAAGAAAGGTTCATCAAGATTGAGACATTGAGATTCCATCTCACTCAAGTTAGAAAGGCTATCAAGAAAACAAATACTGGTGAGGATGCAAAGAAAAAGGAACCCTTACACAGTGCTGATGGAAATGTAAAGTAGTGTAGCCACTATAGAAATAACTATGGAGGCTCCTTAACAAAATAAAAAAGAGCTACTATATGATCCTGCTATACCACTCCTAGGCATATATCCAAAGGAATTTAAGCCAACATACAATCAAATTCCTGCACATCCAATTTTATAGCAGTGCTATTCACAATTGTCAAAATATGTAATCAACATATGTGTCCAACAACCAATGAATGGATAAAAAAAATTGTGGTATATATATACATGATGGAGTATTATTCAGCCATAAGCAGGAATGAAATTGTTATTTATGGGAAAATGGAACTGGAGATCATCATGTTAAGAAAATTCAGCTAGACCAAGAAAGACAAATATTGCATGTTCTCTCTCTTATGCAGAATCTAGTCCTTAAAAGTGAATGACAGAATATAAAACTGGAACTTTTTGTGGGTTGGCATTAGCAGAGGGGGAAGACAAATGGAAAGGGTGAAAAGGGTGACCATGGTGGAACTGCTTCATACACATGTATGAAAATATAATAACAAAACCTATTTAAATCATTTTTAAAGGGGGGAGGGGTGTGAGAAGGAATAATAGAGGGGTGAATTTGATCAAAATACATTGTATGCATGTATGGAAATCACAATGAAATATAAAAGGAGGTTTCCTTTTACAATTAATCTGTTACTTTTTTTTATTGTTGTGCTAGATGGAGGTACATTGTAGCACTTACAAAGATTCTTACAATGTATCAAATGCATTATACTTGAATTCCTCCCCTCACTGCTCTCTCTCATGTCCCTCCCCTGATTCCTGAAACCATTTCAACAGGTACCATTTTGCATTAACATACATGTGTATCCATTTTTTGCAGTGTATTCATTCTCTTGCCCCTTTCCCTGCCATTTCCCCCATCCCACCAGTGCTATTCCATTGTGTATAAATACCACATTTTCTTAATCTGCTCATTAGTGCTGGGGAATCTTGGCTGTTCCCATAATTTAGCTATTGTGAATAGTGCTGCAATAAATATGGGTGTGCAGGTGCTTTGGTATTAACCTGACTCACATTCTTTCAGGTATTTCCCTAGGAATGGTATTGCTAGGTCATAGGCAGATCTATTTTTAGTTTTTTAAGGATCCTCCATATTGTTTTCATAGTGGCTGTACTAGCTTACATTCCCACCAGCAGTGTATGAGGGCTCCTTTTCCCTCACATCCTCCCCAACATTTGTGGTTGGTGGTGTTCTTAATGGAAGCTATTCTAACAGGAGTGAGGTGGAATCTTAATGTGATTTTGATTTGCATTTCCTTTATGACCAGGAATGGTGAACATTTTTCATGTGTTTTTTATCCATTTGCACTTCTTCATTTGAAAAAGTTCTGTTCAGTTCAGTTACCCATTTCTTTATAGGGTTATT